TTTTGGACGCTTCTGGCCAAACAATCCACGTGCGACACTTGTTTAGACGTGTGTCGCGGCTTTTTACTCATCTAGGGGACATACGTATTACCTAGAGGAGATAGCGTGTGCCTTTTAAAAAAAATTTGAACTTTGTTTAACGCCAAACAATCGAAGCACAAAACTCATCACTGTACAACCCTGTATCTCCTCACCGGATGCTTCACATCGCCTTTTCAGGAAATTCGTCCCCTTGTCTAATATGGTCCAGTTTAATATGACACGCCCAATCGATCATGGATCCCTCTTGCCAGTTGGGTATCGTGAATTCAGGTTGAGATCAGGAATCCGTTCCTGCCGTGTATAACGACAGATTGCGCAACCATTTTTATCATCATCTGAAAAGTCCTACACAGTGGAGAATTTTCTCTATAGGTTGGATGCGTACACAATTAAAATCCACCCGTCCCATTTTAAGTCCGCCATCATAGCCCTTTTGAATTAATTGAAGCGTACAATCTGTGCGGTCCCAACCTCAACTCACCTGAAAATTTCTTTGCGGCCGCTTTATCAAAGTTGGCTACTTTTCGACTGTTGTTCCTTTAGCGACGCCAACTCCCCGGTCCGCTGGACTTAGTCGAGCTTTAACCTTCGACACTTTCTGCGTTTCTATGCTGTCACCGAGAGCTTACTTACAATGTGATGATTATTCACAGTGCGATCTCTTATACCCTTTATAGCTAGCGAACTACACGTGAGACCATTGCACGCACTCGCAGTACATCCACATGGTGGTGGACGCTTAGCGACGTTCATCAGATGGCCGTCTGAAAACCAAGCGGCCGAAGAAAAATTAAGAATCGAAGTAAGAGAACCTAAGCTGCGGCAGTGCCACCACTATCAGTAGATGATGATAGATCAAGTCCTCTCGATTTTGAAGATGAGATAGCCTTAATAATAAAATTGCGATAACAAGGGCTTAACATACTACGGAAATAAGTTACCATGACATGATACAAGAATCGAACGCTCTTTTCTAATTAACGTTTAAGGATTGATAATTTTGTTGAAGGCTTGACCTGATAGCGCCTTCGAAACTAACTTTAGAGATCATTTGATGATGTGCGCGTAAGCAGAAAGGTTCGGGTGACTGCATGGTGGAAAAGTTAACTTGATCTGCGTACTCGTTGCGAAAGTGAGTACGTCATTGATAGCCGATAGGCAATGACCTTTGCCGAAGATAAAAGAGTCCTTAGTAGCTCAATAATGGACGAGGGTGTACTAAGTAAGATTAATCGGATTGAGCGATGCGCATCCCGATCATTGGAGTCACTCACGGCAAATCATTTCTACGATAATCTAAAATGACATTCAGGGATGCATCTTAAGAAGCCGTTCCGTGTGATTTACCTAAGTACAGAGATACTCGACACGAAATCGACCCAAAAGGACACGAAACCGTTCCGAAATAGACCCGAAACCAGGCTTGAAAGCACTGTGTCGTGAAGCGATGAACACTGCCTTGTTTAAAAGCAGTAGGGATAGACCAACGTTCTGCATAAAGCTTAACAGATTGAAATGTGATGGAGACGACCTCCCCTCATAGCTCTCCGACCTTTTGTGTGCGAAAAGCCGCAAGAGGACGAAGAATAATACTTGCTTTTAACGAGTTGAATGCTGCAACTTACTGGCTCTTTACCGTGAATAAATTCGTATTGTAGACCGTATTTTTACGGCCTTAACAAGCAGGATCATCCCCGTTTCTCATTTATCATGTTTGTTCGACAAAAATTATCATAAAATTTGTGAACAGCTTTATTACACAATTTTTACCAGGACTCAAATCGATAAAACATACGAAACCTACTATTTAATCCGCTAAGCATTAAAAAGGGATGTTAAAATACAGAACGGGATTTAATTAGACGGCCTCAACTTTATTTATCCTAGGCAGAGGTCCAAAGCTTGTATTCTTGTCTGATTTTTTTCGTATAACTGAGCGACCATAAACGAGCACAATGGACGCAAAAATGAAGGACGTATAGAATTTTACAATTTCGAAATGGAAATTTTGCTGGAGGGATCTTTAAAAAACCACACAATGCATGACTTGTTTACTTGTAAGCAAAAATATACTAATAGATTCATTAATTTATAGAAGTTTAGGTTTTCTTACTGCTGAAGATGCTCTCAAGGTAGTCGTTTTTTTAGGTCCCTAACGCTTTATCGGAGGCGGCTAAGTGTCAAGACAAATACTCACGTATACCTAGCAAACTCATATCTGCTACCTTAACCGATTCTTTCAGCGACACATTCACTTTTAAACTGACGGTAATACTCAATCACATTTATCACTACTCTGTCTCATTCGAATTTAAACTGAAAAATTATGTGATATGAACTATGTACTATAAGTGGATAGTACTCAATTATCTTTGGTTCGGTTCGTTTGTAAATTTTCCTTATACGTTCAAATTTTGGCATTGGCAGTCATCGTTCGTCATCGAGAGCAATCCGCATGGTCTCTAATTATAAGCATGTAGCATCCACGATGCCTCAAAATCCGACAGCACCGAACGTGCACTTTTAAAATCGCGTTGTGGATGTGAAATTTCAGAGCGGCCGCAAACATGGAGTAGAGCTCGCTACAAGTACTGTAACATCATTGATTGCAGAATCCTAGCTTTGTAGAATGTCTGTGTGAATCATCTTGTTCCTGCGCCAATATCCTCAAGTTCTCATCGCTCGGCTACCAACAGACACTCGTCGAGCAAAGTAGCTGCCGAGGTGGCGTTGGCGATACATACCGCCCCTCTCTGCTGGAGAAAGAAGTTGCGTGCGCTGGCGAGCGAGACCAGAATCCCGAAATTAGCTCTTTACCGCTACGTAAAGTCGGGCGTTGTCGACCACTCCTTGTGTCGAAACAAAGCCAACATAAACGACAATGCACAAGCAGAAGAGACCCGCAGTTCCCCTCAGAATAAATTTCTTACTGATTACTTTTGAACTGTACCGCACGGCATAAATATCGCCAACACGAAGCGTTCATTTAAGGCAGAACGATTGCCTCAATTTTAAAAACGATGTATGATGCTGTTCATGTAGACCAGAAATGGTTTATTCTTCACACAACATTGACTCGTTACAGCCGGCAATGAAGCTCTACTGTATAGCTCAACCCCGATCAAGCAATTTGTCATCAACGTGATGTTTTGGCCACAGTTGCACGGCCACGGTAAGCATTTTACAGTAAGGTTAAGCTTGACGAAATCATTAGAACACAATCTATTGTCGAGGCCGCGCCAGCGAAGCGTTCTTCCGCTTACCGCACCGCTAAAACAATGGCCCTTCATACCGTAATTTTTACGCGTGAAGTAAACGTCGCACGCTCAAAGAGAATTCATTCTTAACAATCAGATATCTTTGGCCAGGAATTTGTTAATCAGAATGTTATTGTAAATAATCTCGTTTACGAGTGACTATTTTTGTCTATGTGGCTGATTACTACAATCCAATATCAACAAGACAACCCCGAAGAGTTTACATCTTTTAAACAATGATGATGTCCTGTATTTAAAAAGAGTAAAGAGAGCAAAAATTTTACGTAATGCCACCCGCCTTGATCCTCAGGCATAATGTGTTGGATTTAGCAGTAGCTAACCCTTTTTGGTAGGAGCAGTAACAGACAGAAAGTCACTCGACTGGAGCACTCGTAGATGCTGTCAACTGGGCTTTTAAGAGTATTCGAGCGAAAACAATCGACAAGACGTTCTTAAAGCTGCAATAGGTAATGGAGAAGGTGATTGAGAACAAGAGTGGTATTAATTATTTGTATGCCGGGTGCTTTAAAAGATTTGTAGTGTACAAGGAGCAAACCCTTCGTCATTTCCGATCGCTTCTGAGTTATTGTAATAGGTAATCTTTCTTAAAGAGGTGGCTGATCTGAGCTTTGACAAAGTATATAAATTCGTGCTTCTCTTTTGGATAATTTCAATTTATGTTCATCTATTTCCTAACACATTCCGCAAAAAAAATTATATTGAAACTACTACTTCAATTTACATCAATTCTGCAATGTTTAAAACTAAGATAGGGGAGCAAGTTCTGGAGCTCGCCTTTGATGTAAGTAATTTAGCTCATTAGATCAAATCAAGTTCTGTACATTTATGTTCCTTGCGCTCAGTCAGCAATGGCTTCATCATCAGTCTCGCAAAAATAATGCCCATTAACCAATGAGGACGAGGCAAATGCTATATTGCACGAAGTATAGCGTGTAAGGTACACCTTTAGCTCTATTTACAGACATGCAAAGGAGACGACATGCAACATCGTACTATTACAACTTTTAAGGGTTAAATAGATGTTCTTACGAGAGTAAAAGGTACCTGAAAAGGTCTCTAATAGCGACGTGTAAGGTAAATTTAACGTTGTTTACATGCAAAGACGCTGGAAGACTATATCGCACTTAATTCCCCTTTAACGTACATAGCGCTACTTACAGATAGACAGGCGGAGACAGACTAATAGACCGACCGATTCGTACGATTTATACAGTCGGCATTCACCTTTCGCACAGTCACTAAGAGTTTCATCCTCCGAGCTCGCAAAAAGTGGTGATCAGATATTGTCACGCTGCTTTCTAAAAGACCATACTAACTTCTTCCTCAAGCAAAATCCACCATCATTTTAACTTCATCACGTCGGACAATCTAAACCCTCTGAAAAACGATCCGACAAAAACTAGGTTCTTCCTGCGGTAAGTGCACTTAAATAAGCTCCAAAAGTTGCATAAAACACCCTTCAGAATGAGCTCTCTACAATGGTCGTACCCTCATCTAAACCCACAAGCTCTGTCAAAATGCGAGCCAAATGCGTGACAACCCACAAACAAATAGGACTCGTACCGAGTAAGGCCTTCATCCAGTCCGAGAAGAGATTTCACGCCCCACGTTCGATCTGATCCGACCTTTTCGCACCCTTTTCCTTCGTCTCTCTCTCCCTGCCACGTCGTCGAGCCCCTCATGAAGTCGTCGTCCTCATCGTCCTCATTCCCAAGCGCCTCGTTGCTCCCGAAAGACGAGACGCTCGCCTTGGACTTCCTCGAGCAGTACCCAAGCTACGACGGCCGCAATGCCGTCGTCGCGATCTTTGACACGGGAGTCGACCCAGGAGCTATAGGGTTACAAACCACGTCGGACGGCCGACCCAAGATCATTGACATTGTGGACGCTACAGGCGCAGGCGACGTGGACACGTCGACGGTCGTTGAAGCTGTGGACCAGACGCTGACGCTCGCGAGCGGACGCGTGTTGACGCTCAATCCCGACTGGACGCCCAGTCGAGATGGAAAGTACCACGTGGGAACGCTCTTTGGCTTCCACGTGTTCCCGAACGACCTCGTGACGAGGCTCAAGCGGGAGCGCAGGGAGAAGCTGGATATTGCTCACAGAGCAGCTGTGAATGACGTGCAGGAGGAGCTCGTTCAGTGGCAGAAAGACAATGGAGATGTGAACACCAAAGAAAATGGACGGGAAAGTGCAACTGCTGAGCGGGTAAAAAAGGACCTGGAGACGAGACTGGGGCAGCTGAAGGAGTTCGGGGATAAGGAGTTTGAAGACCCGGGACCGATCTACGATGCAGTTGTCTTTCATGACGGCACGAACTGGCGTGCTGCGCTAGATACGACGGAGACGGGGAATTTTGCAGGTATATCGACCATGACGAATTTTCGAGAGGAACGAGAATTTGCTACATTCTCGACCGAGTCGCAGCTGAATTACGTGTTGAATATTTACGATGACGGCAAGACGTTGAGCGTCGTGAACGATGTTGGAGCTCATGGGACGCACGTAGCTGGAATTGTGGCCGCGTACTATAGTGATCAGCCAGAGTGCAATGGGGTTGCTCCCGGTGCGCAGATTGTTGCGGTGAAGATTGGAGACGGGAGGTTAGCAGGCATGGAAACGTCGTCAGCGTTGAGTCGCGCGATTTTAGCCGTTATGGACTCGAGCGTCGACATTGTCAATATGAGCTACGGAGAGTACGCATCGCAGCATAATTACGGCCGCATCATTGAACTCAGCAAGGAGCTTGTGGATGAACACAACGTGACTTTCGTGGTTAGCGCGGGTAACAATGGCCCTGCGCTGGGCACCGTGGGAGCTCCAGGTGGAACGACTTCGTGTATGTTGTCTGTTGGGGCCTACGTGTCGCCCAAGATGATGGACGCCGAATACACGATGCGGGATAATGATCTTTCGGGAACGGCTTACACCTGGTCATCGCGTGGGCCAACGTTCGACGGTGACCTGGGTGTAAACATTTGCGCGCCTGGTGCTGCAATTGCTCCGGTGCCGAACTGGACCCTGAACAAGAAGCAACTTATGAACGGCACATCGATGTCGTCGCCAAATTGTGCTGGAAACATTGCGCTGCTGGTAAGTGCCTTGAAGGCTAAAGGCATGGAATACACGCCATACTCGATTCGTCGTGCGCTGGAGAATACGGCGGTCATGGTGCCTAAAGTAGAAGTTTATGCCCAAGGCAAGGGACTCATTCAAGTGCTCCCAGCGTTCCAGTATCTGATGAACAGCAACACATTTGACGGTACGAAGAAATCTCCTTTACATTACGAAGTCAAAACATCTTCAGGCAACGGAAATGCCCGAGGTATATTCCTCCGTGATAGCGCTGATTTTGCTCACGACAGCACTGAAGTAACTGTTTCGGTCACTCCTATCTTCCATAAGAAGACTGCTCAAGATGACAAAATTCACTATGAGCAGCACGTGCGCCTTGTCTCCTCTGTACGTTGGATTGATGTGGGACGGAGCTTAGCCCTGATGCACGGCGGCCGCACGTTCAAGGTGCTTGTAAAGACGAAGCATTTGACTGCTGGTGAGCACTACGGAGACATTGTTGCTATAGACACTTCGAATGAAGCCCGAGGTACTCTTTTTACCATTCCTATTACTGTGATCAAGCCTGAAAGTGTTGATTCAGTTTGCCTCTTTGAGAACAAATTCCAGCCTGGTGATATCTCTCGCCGCTTCATCACACCTCCTGTGGGAGCTACATGGGCCAACATCATTTTCTCGCGTGCGAGTGCAAACCGAGAGCGTGAAGTGGATTCCAACTCGTCGGGCAAGCTGTACGTTTTTGATGTAGTGCAGTTCCAGCCATTTACGCGCCAGAGTCTGTCATCATTTCACAAGGCTTTCAATCTGAAGCCCGACGAAGAAGTTGTCTTTAGTATGGACTTGATGGGAGGTCTGACAACTGAGTTCTGCTTGGGTCAATTTTGGAGCGCTCTAGGAGACTCAATCGTGCAGATTGAGATTCGTTTTCACGGTATTCAACCGAATCAAGAGAAGATTGTTGTCACTGGCGGCGAAGAATCGCACAAGGTTCTGCTGTCTAGTTCCGTACGGACTGAGACGTTAGCTCCTAAGACGAGCTACACTCAGTATGTGCAGCGCATCCGTCCAACAATAGCAGAGATCACGCCGCTAAGCTCAAGTCGTGACCAATTTTCTGACAAACGCCAGGTATACCAATTGGTTTTGACGTTTCCATTCACAAAGAAGGAAATCGGTAAGGTAGTCCCGTGCTTGCCACTTTTAACTGGACGTCTGTACGAGTCGCCTTTTGAAGGGCAATTGATGATGATATTCGACGACAAAAAACAGTACATGGGCTGCTCGGACGCCTATGGCGATGCAACAATACTGAAAAAGGGATCGTATGTTGTTCGTGCCCAAATACGACACGAAGATGTGAGCAAGCTCGAAAATTTGAAGCAAATGGTGCTGCTCCTGAACCACGAGATAAAAGAGATACCCGCGTTAGTGTACGAACACCAGGACGACGTTGCGCTTGGCGGGAAAGCTCTTGATAAAAAAGGCTTGCCTGCTGGAAAGTGTGTGTCAGTCTTTGTCGCAGAACCTGCTTATGACAAGCTGCCTACCGGAAGTACTGTGGGAGATGTTCTGACGGGCAAGATTTACTTCGGCCAGGAGCACGGAGCGATAAAAGGGTACGTTCGCTTACTCTCTGGATATATACTATTGATGTTTGCTTAACACTTGCGCACTGAATTGTTTACCTGCAGAAGCGGTAGACGTCCCAGTGGTTTTGATATCACGTATGTCATTCCTCCGGCGCTTGCACCGGTTGAGAAGCCTGAGTTGGAAGAGCCGATGGAGGAGCGTGACGAAGAAGAGCTAGCCAAAGAAGCCGTTCGTGACCTGCTACTTGAGCGGACGACCAAACTGGCTGGCAAGCCCACCTTCTTGGCAGCTTGGCAGCGTCTTGTCGACCAGTTTCCAGACTACTTGCCCGCACTGCAAGCTAAGCTGCACCACTTCGATACCGAGACCAGTCGATCGTCTCATCTAGAAGAAGTGGTCGAGGCCGCTGATTCAGTGTTAGCACTCATCAAGCAGGATGAGCTGGCACTGTTCTTTGGCACTCGAAATGTTCCTGGTGATCGACCGGCGTTGGAGAAACAGTTGCGTAAGGAAAAGGAAAAAGAGAAGGAGATTCTCGTCGACGCTCTCGCGCGCAAGGCTCGCGCTATCGGCGACACTACCGAACAGTGGGACGACTTCTTGATGGTATACGCTGAGCTTCAGAAGTGGGTAGACGTTGAGGCGTCAACTTACCTCCACGTGGCGCTACTGCATGACCGTCATTTTGGTGCGTTTGGTCTTGCTCTGCAACGACTGCGCAAGGTCAAAGACTTGACGCGGTCGGAGTTGGTCAAGATCATTTCGGACGAGAAGCTTGCCTTCGAAATCGCCAGCACTCTGAACGCTCTGAATTGGACGCACTGGGCCAATTACGAAACCCAATGGGAACGACGCCGCTTCCCGTCATCCTACCGCAAATTCTAGACAGGAAGACAGCAAGCAAGTAACGCATGCCGTTGCAGCGGCTTGACGAAGGTGGACGAGCAAAATGCCAAACAGGACGTTACTGACAAATTACGGCCATTGACTCGACTAAACCTGCCTGCACTAAAAATTACGGGGGACCAAGCGGTAGCACTGCTTACATCTTGATCAACGGCTTTTGGCAGTTGAGTTAATTCGCAATAAAAATAAAGCGTTTCCTGCTTTCCTCTTATTTTCGTCCTCGCTCATTCATTTGCGACGTGACGCCATCCAGATATTGCACATCGTTATAAAAGCTTTGGCTTTGCATACTTTCTGTTGGTCCTGTTCCGCAAAGATCCCCGCTTGCATATTTTGCAATTGCAAGTGCGCTAATCACAGCTTGTGTGGTGCGAGCAATGATGAGGCATCTCAATGTTAAGCGACGTGCCAAGCAGTTACGAGCCCAGTCCACGTTTGAATATTTCGCATTGTAGCTGAGCTCGCTGACCAACGGCTTTCATCGTTCCAATTTCTTCATCACTGAAGCCCCTTTGCAAATTACGCGACTGTTCTGATAGCACGCATATCCTCTTGATGCAGTTGTATGCAATGGATAGCACCCAATCTTTTTTGCTATATCGATAAAAATGAGCTTGCCTTGCCCGTGTGTAAGCTACTTGATGTGGCCACTACGGCGATCGACATTTGCTATAGCATTAATGGCCACAACTTCAATGAACGAAGAGTAAATGAACACCGTCCTTCGATCCCGAACTTTGTTTGAGGTTTACAATCGCTAACTGCCAGATGATGCGTAGCAATGGTCTCTGATTTCCAGAACCTGAATAAAAATCATTTCGAACACAGCCCGTAAAATATGATTTCAAACCTATGCCGCAAATAAGGTGGTTTCTCCATAGCTCTGCGTGGATGATGATGAGTGGGTCTTACCAAAGCTTCAGATACGAGAGCAAAATTGATACGAACAATGATGCCTGTCAGTACAGGTACAACACATTCGGGTAGCTTACTTTGTGACACTGCATGAATTTGCTAAACTACAGACCCCTTTAAAAAAAGGGATTCAAAGTGCCTTTTATGTGATAATCTCGACGGGATCTTAATCACCAAAAACACGTCTTAAACAAATGGATCGACCGCAATTTATATAAACCCAGGTATGATAGAAGCAGTGCGTCCAAACCAAAACAGACGTAAATATTCTCTGTAGTGAAACGGCACCACGTACACACACATCATCTTCGAATCTGCTTCAATGGTTCACAGGAGATCGGTGGCAAATGATAAAAAAAGAAGACCGACTTCAGGCAAAAGCTTAGTTTTTGGAAGGTGATGAACTGATCTTAGCATTTGTGCTCCAAATTATTGATGTTTTGAAGCAAACAATCCAGACCCTGTGTTTTCTTAGCGGCGAAAGCTAAGCCTAAACTGCCGCCTGTTTTGAGAAGCCACTTGTAACATTTGGTAATAATCTGTTCACCCCCATATTTCGATTTCCACCCCCGCCAAGATGCAAACACTAGTCTTCTACAGCTTATACAAATAAGGTAATCAACTTCAATTACCTGATCTGTACAAGCTGTAGAATCAACATTGATCCTACGCAACGCCACGCACACAGTAACGCTGCCAATTACTGTAAACCAGCACAAGATCATGTCTGTTTTTTTGGAAATTTTAAGTCGGATTTTTGTCAGCGAAGGAGCTGATTATCGCTTTGCCATTCGGAGGTTCCTGCTTGACTTAAACCTGTTGGTCTATAATCTTAAGTGAATCATTACAAACATAATTTTCCTGTTTCATCATAGCTCGATAATATTAATCGACTTTAAAATAATGAAGTACTCATAAGCGACGCTAACAACCGCGTCTGTGCCACAGTATTGACATGCATGTGGTTCTCGTACTCGACATCCTTATACCCATCCTTTCCCGACAGCACTTCTTCGAAACACACCAGTGGTCCGCTTAAACCTGAACTATCATTCAAAATCTGGAAGATCGTCCATTTGTTTTACAGTTATACGGCGTGTAGTCTGAAGTCCTCGCTTGACGAAACCTTACAACCTTATTCTGTCTAAGCCGCTCAGTCGGAGGACATCAATAGGACCGCGTTGTTAGAGGTGAAGACAAACTTACCGTGTTGTGCATGTTTGGGTTTGTGTGGACACTGTAAAAAAATGGTGCGCGAAAATATCCTATTCATCACGGTTTATTATGAATTTAGGGAGCCGTTTACCACCCATTAGATTTCTCATCCACCCCATCCTACATATTTGAACGAGGGAAACATTAGCCACCCTCAAGTTTTCGTTAATCACCCCCACCCCTATATGTATTTTTATGCTTTAAATTTGTCATAATAAAAGTTATGATGTTAAATACTGGCAGCCAATCCCGACACCATAATTGCACCCTTTTTTCTTTCGCTTCAACGCAAATTTTTTACCTGTTGAAGAATCTATTTCAGCGCGCAAACACCATAGTCAGTCATTTGCAAATGGATCTGCTCCCACCTCTTATAACATACGATAGGCTGGAGAAAGCCCGTAAGGCACTTAATGAACATGCAGGAGGTCAAGGTTTTGTCTAACGAAAAAGCGTACCAAGAGAGTGGGTGACAAGAAAGATGGCCCATACAAGCGTATTGTTCTATAATACTCACAGGGAAATAGATGCAAGCCATTTGCTGTTGATGAAGAATCAGCAACGAGATCGATCAAGCGCATAAGGGCTAGCAGAAGCCTTGGGTGCCGATTTAAGGCTGTCACTTCAAAAGATAGATAAGCACACTTCTATGGTGTCAAATGGGGATTGATACGAGCCAGTTGCTGTTATGGCATATGTTGTCGAGATTCATCACTGTATCCGTGGGTGGAAAAGTACTCGACAATGTTCTTGATGATGGCGGACTTCAACGACTGAGCAGATGTTTCCGTAACAACAACGTTCGTGCCGCAAGCGACAGATCTGATAGCGCTCAGTGAGCCATCCTCAATGATGCCGGTGATCACTGCTGTCATGTTGATCATCTTGGACCTGTCACTTGACTGCATTGAGCGCCGTGACGAGGAGTAGTAGGCATCAATACTGCGGTCAATCTCCATTTGATTTGAAACGAAGTCAATTGTGGTGTTCAGCGGATGCAGACTGCCTTGTCGAGAAACCCTATCGATGAAACCTCAGTCTAGCTCTTGTCAGACTCCACGTCCAGCCCATACCATCTTTAAATTACGCTTTAGTCTGTTAAGTCAATTGAACATGTATTACGACGATTGAAGTACCTCTTGATAGTTCTGCGGCTGGCTTGAAGTTAATTTCGAATTTAGTATTGTCGGATGCCTTTGTCACAGTGCTCATGCTGGGCACTGTTTACAAGCCCAACCTGTTCCAGAATCTCTCGTATATATTCTCATTTGACCGAGCCAGTTACTCGATCAGATGAAGCTGCTGAATAATAAATAATTACATGTCGCCGACTGAACGACATGCATAGAATGTTCAGATTAAGTATTTTATCAAATATAAATGAGATTGCAAATTTCTTTTGACACTGGTGGTAATTTGAATCCTACCAATCAGAAAGCGTAAATAGAGTTATTTCCGGCAATGTATTTCCCTTTTTTTACTAGATAATGAAATATTTAAGTGTATGATTGGTCATATAAGAACGTTATATTTCTTTGAGCTGATTGCAAATATCTACAGCAAAGATTGTAGCTACTTTATTCGTGCATGCACACTTCTGTTCTATGCTTGTCGGCAGCATTACTACGTACTTACAGACTCATTGCCAGATTAAAAATTTACAATTAAATACTGAGCAGCTCTGGATGCTGCCTATGACACGCTAAAGGAGTGAACCCTTGCGTCTATCCAACATGCACCAGGAAGTAGTTTTTAAACTATGTATCCTCAACAAAGCGAAAAACAAGATCACTGGATTGTCGAATGTATTTATGCATGGCGATGTCAGGATGAAAGCTGAAACTAGAAGAGCGTCACAATAATTTTGCACAAGCGGCTAATATACGTGATTCTGAGTGGGCAACAGTCGTACATATCTCCTGGTGCTTTATAAGTCGTTAAAAGAACACGATGTGCAATCCATCGATGTTCGGGAAGACTGAGGTCGCGCTTAATCCTCTTAAAGGTCGAATTGTTGATAAAAAGTCAACCTGGCCATAAGTTGTAAAGTGCCGTCAACTAGCACCTCGAGCACCTCCTTGGAAATTCTTTTGTAGACGAAGAAGAAAAGGTGAATAATACATGACTTGAGTCGTCTGAAATAGTACAGTGAGGCTTGCAATCACATCAAAAGATAAATAATGTTTAGGTTTATTGCAAGTATTACTAAGTTCATCGTGTCGGAATATCAAGATTGAGTATTGTAATCCTTCGGGCACGCAATATGACCGATCAGAAGCCCCCAAAAAATATACAGACAATTTTAAGAGGGTCGATAATGGTGTCAAGCCCCAAAAAAACTATACAGACAATTTTAAAAGGGTCGATAATGGTCAACGAAACTAGGTGGGTGGTAAACGGTTTCCATTAGCTTATTATGAGGCATAAATAAAGGGGATATGCTATATCAGCTGTTTCTACGCTTCAGGTTTATCATAGCTATACACAACTAAATATATTTTGCACAATAAACGCTACTCGGTGGGCATCATTGTCGGCAATCCGGCTACCGCAATCGATGTCCTTGACTGAAAATGTATGTGAGTGAGTGTGAAGCCTATATATCGACTATAAGTAAGTAACGATCTGCATCACCAATGCAAATAATTTCATTGGAATTTGCGATGAGGTGCGTCCAGTTTCATGAGGGGTAAGTCGCGATGCAAACGATGTGAAAGATAAATCTAGAACCTTTACAGTTTATAGAATCCGGTTTAGAGGATCAGTATTGATTGTATAAAACCGGAGGACAACTGCCTCACGTTTAAGGCGCTTTTACTCATGCATCGCTGCATCGGAATCGTACTTGCGCAAGCATTTAGTCTCATGCTGCACCTTTTGAATAGATTGTCAGTAAAAGCACGATAAATTCAGTCTAGAAAGCACCCCACATGTCCGTGTTACAAGAGGGATTCATTTTGGCTTCACGTGCGCTTTTCCAGGGGCTTCTTGTGCAGTAAGAGCTTCATGTCGTTTGCATGCTCTCATGGAAAGCCGCCGAAATTGTGCAATGACAGGATTAAAGCACCTCGAGACTTTACGAATCCATACAAAACCGTGCATAGACAGACAATCATTGCACGCCTCGTGTGCACGCGGCGCGAATCAACACGCTCCAAAATTGATCAACAAAAAAGGAGAAGTCTGGGTATTCGCTAGCCTAGATATCGCTGTGAGCGCGATAGGGTAACTCGCTGCTACATAGGCGTCGGCTTTCCAATTAAAAGTGGGCGATTGCGCTTTGTCAGTGGCGTATAGAAACAGCTTATAGTGACATCGTTATCTCTGCTCACAATTTGTGGTTAGCTAATCATGTTTTGTTTGATTGTGTTGAGGGGCTATCACCAGAAAACTAAAGGGAGATTGGCGCTTTCTTGACCCAACCATGCATCCAACTGAGAGGAATTTACCACAGAACTGAGGAAAGATTAGTGGTCTCTTCAAAAAGACAAATACGTTCACATATCACACACCTTGCCTGCAAATGTCATTTTCCACATATTATCTGATGATTGCATCGTCTTTCTGTATCTTTTTTGATAACGATAATAGTGTTTGTCATAGGGATCTCTTAAGCGAAATAAAGATGTACTTTGACCAAATTTTCTTCTGACCCAGTATGAGATTCGATATTACGCCATAGATAATTATTTATCGTTATAGTGTTATTCCCGTGCTACAAGCGTATTATATCTGAATGATTCTGACCGGTATAGAGAACTTTCTGTATTGTGTCTTTTATGCTGGTCTCCCCCCTACATTCAAATCAGCTAGTCGTTCGTTCATTAGTGATGTGGCGAAGACTCGAGTAAGGATTACCAGAACATTCGCAAGTAAGGTCGAGCGAATGTTATCATGAACAGGCAATTTAAGACTACTGGTGAGACTAGCCCTACCAGATCAATCCCCGACCGTAGTATCACTCACTAACAAGACACTCATTCGTGGTTCTATAAGAGACGCTAGAGAGATGACCGGGGGATAATATTGAAAGAAGGGTTTTGCCTTCTTCTCTACATGATACTTATAATCTGTAACAACACCAATGCGATTCTTGCAGCTCCTTGGCTCAACCGATAGTTATTCTAACGCAATGTAAGATTAATGGAGTGAGTGTTGCTATATTGGATGAATAAGCAGCTTGAATACCATCGTTGCAACCATTTTTTACAGGCAGCGATCATTTTCAACCTTTACGCCGCTGAAGTTACAGAAGAAGAAACTTGGAGAATAATTATACACGTGTTGTGAATATGGACAGTGCAATCTACGTCGGCAATTTCTGTAATCTAGACATTAAATGCCGTGGGGCGACACTAGGACTACAAAGCAAACTACGGCAGCAGGCAAGAGGCAAGCGCGCCTAGTTATCTGTCAAGCTGGTAATAGTATCATCGACCGCATTACCGATGTGGGAATGGAAGATCGCGCGAAAGTGGTCTGCATTTAACAAAAGATTCGCCATTGTGCACATAATTCACCGCGCATATACAGATTCAAACTTTAATACAATGCCTCAAAGCTTCTATAAGCAACAAGCACGTAAAAATTGTTACTACGCTAGCCTTTGTACCCAGCCGAATGCCATTCCCACTATCTTAGCAGTTGTGATGGTCCGATCTATACTACAACATCCACCGACCCCAGTGGCCGAGTGGTAGACCACTGGAACTGGGAACGGGAGGTACCTGGATCAATACGCAGTGGGGGTTCGATTACAGGGCGCCGGAGATAGGCTGATGTAGTAGACGAGCAACCACGCAGAAGTGGCCGCCCTGCCAACCCGCGCAAGGCGTGGATAGTTGGGTGGGCGGGAGGCCCTACTGGCCGAAAAGCCCCATAGTGTAATGAAGGGTGCGGGTCCTGTAAGGAGTTCAAACTGAGTCAGAGTACTCGCAGCTCACCCCAGGGTGATCTGAAGGACCGCGCGGCATAAATTTCTCTGTGCTACAACATCGAGCTTGTCGGTTAAACCTATGCTGTGGCGAACGGGTTGCCAAATCGACATACAAGAAATACTGGGCTTGATTGGGGCAGCACGAAGGACACACGCACATCTTTTGCGAATGTGCGGAAGTTTCCAGAGTTGAGAATATATTTTATTCCATTCGAAGTGACCAGTTGCCACTACCGCTCACGTGATATTTTACGCATACGCAGAGTTTTCTCGAATGGCTCTACCGATAACGGAAAGTGTTCACAGCAGCTACCGAGCGAAAGTTCCTAGGTGCCGTTGCCACTGTTGAAAGGGCATGGGAACAAATCCGCTGGATCATTCGCTCCGTCTGCGTCAGCACACCCTGGATCCAGCTAAATTGGAGTGCATTCAACCCGTACCGTGCATCGCTAGGACGAGAGGTCGAATAATTTCTCAAGATCCTTCTTCGTTAACTTTGTGCGTAAGTGACCAAGGAACGTCGGCAAGGACAAGAGGTGGATTTGGTGTCTACACTTTGCCTAGCAACGAAATTGTTTCAGATTACTGATGCCAGTCAGTGGCTAGTCAGGTAGAGACATACTATACTACAGAAAAACCTCGTTCAGAAATCTTGGACTTCGTAAGGGTAAATTTACAGTCTTTTTTGTAACGAGCAATGCTTGCGCTTGCGTGATACAAATATATTGGCTCTCAACCAAGGCTGTGGAACCAGGGATGTCACGTGATGAGTTCGGTATCCTTGTGCATAACGATCAGCATTACGTAATTGAGCAGTCGTGGCTTTTTTTATTCGGTCAGGATGACCGGAAACGATGAGCTTCATATTTTGTCGTGAGCTTGTCAGTAAATCGCGGAACAATCGTCCTGAAATGGACTCGTTTGTTTGAGACACTAGACGGGGCATGTCACCGTGGACCAACTGAGCTCTACTTTAAAACCATTTTTTGTAGTTTAAAGCATAAGCATAGCATTCGAAATGTACAAGGGCCGTTACAGTGTTTGATTGTTGATTCATGTGTCAAAGACGATTTAAGAATGGGCAAAAGATATGACTTTGTCGATTTATAGCTTTATGAAGGGCGCTGCTATCGATCAATTTAACACTATCTTGTTTCCGCCAGTGCAAAACATGTCGTAAGCTACGTGTGAGTATGTAGATCCGTACCCCTCGTGTTCATTACTTGGTTGATCACTAGCGCTGCGACAAAAGATACTTGTCGGGTTTGCAAGAGCTTGCGAGCGTTTAGCTTTTGCTCAACTGATGGTTCTTGAACAGGTGATCATGCAAATGACTCGTAGCCCAATGACCACGAAAGCGATAGACGACTTATGCCATTTGCTACCAAATCGCTCAAAAGAAAATTGTGCTCCCACAGTTTCGATGGCGCTTAAAATGTTAGCCCCTGCTGTTTTAGTACGGCACTTCTGCATAAAAAAGTGAGGTTCGAATTTGCTAGCGTTTACAACATCACTGATTTCAATTTTTCGGTCCCTTCTCACGCATCAGTTGGCTGTCAACACGGATGAGATTATATCGGCTTATCGCTTCCCTCTTTACAGAAAGAGGCGGTTTTGAACCAGTCTGGGGGCTCATCTAGTCGGCAGAAATCAATGTCATGCAAATATTATTGAGTGGGGCTCCTGATTTTGGATGGAAATACTGACTGCACCGAATGGGTAAACCAGCAAGGATTGTGACGATTGAAAAAGGCCCTTTTGGCCACTATGAAGATGTGAAATGCCACTGATGGATCGTACGATTTACCAGTACATCGATCTCAGCAGTTCACAAAGGGTCCAAAACTGCTTGAGTGTTGCTAGATAGGTAAGCGGTAGTCCATTGACGTACCACAGAAGCATATGCCGTTGTCAGAGTCGGTTCTAATGAGCCAGTTTCATCATACGTTGAACCCATGCTTTGACTACAATGGTTGGACACCAATCGACGAGCAACGGGCAATTCGACCTGGCACCTCACATTTCGATCCAACATCGTCGTCCCCAACCGTATCCAAGTATCTTCGGCGTTTTGACTCGAACGATTCCGAGCATGCGTCTGGCGTACATCGTCGTAGCTGCTCTAGCTGCCCATTCCACTTGCACTGATGCAGTCTCAACTAGTATCAATTCAAAGACTGTTCTCGAGCATGACGACCCACTCGCTCCTCGCGAGATGGAAGATGATCATGTCAACAGCACAAACACGAAGAAGTTATTGAGGATCGTCACTGCCAACAAAGACTTGCAAGCTGACGACGAGGAGAGAAACGCGGCCAACGTCGCTGAGGAGCTGAAGCCAGTGGTCATGAAGCTGTCACAAAGTACCTTCTTGGGGAAGACTTCTGACGTGGCGGTCGCAGCTGCAACAGGGACCAAAGCGCTGGTAGATAAACTTGCTCTGCAGTACAGGGCCGCTATCTCGAAGGTGCTGAAACTGATGGAACCGCTTGGGAGCAAGCTGGCGAATAGTCCGATCTTTGTTAAGCTCGTGGAGCTTGCACACATGATCAGGAACATCAAGGTTGGCGACTCAACGATGGGTGAGCGCTTCAAAGCAGCTAAAGTAAAACACTCGTTCAAGACAAGCACGGGTCCGACGGGTGTCGAGCTGAAAGAGAGTACCGGGCCCGTTGTCGTTGGTGATGCCGAGCTCAAGGCTAAAACCGGACCAGTTGTCGTGGATGATTCCAAGCTAAAAGCGGGTGCCAAACTCGGTGTCGTGGATGATCCCAAATTAAAAGAGAACACTGGACCTGGCGCCGTGAAAGATGCCGAGGTGAAATCGAGTACCGGTCTCGGACGCACGGACGATTCCAAGCTGAAAGCGAAGGCTGAACACGATGTCATCGAGGATTCCAGGCTAAAGGCCAGTACCAGGCATGTTGTCATGGGGGATCCTGAGTTGAAACCAAGTACTGGTCTCGGACCCACGGACGATTCCAAGCTGAAAGCGAAGGCTGAACACGATGTCATCGAGGATTCCAAACTGAAAAAAAGTACTGTTGACGTGGAGGATCCTAAGTTAAAACTGAGTGCTGGACTCGGAACCGTGGGTGATGTCAAGCTGAAAGAGAGTACTGTACTTGATGTCGCGGGGGATTCCAAGCTGGAAGCAAGTACCAGACCGAGTGTCGTAAAAGCTGCTGAGCTGAAACCGATTACTGGACCTGGTGCTATTGATGATTCCAAGCTGAAAGAGAGTACAAGACCTGTTTTTGATGAGAATCTCAAGCAAAAAACAAGTACCGGACATGGCATCGTAGAGGATCTAAAGTCGAAGACAAAAATTGGATTCGGTATCGCAGAGGATCCCGAGCTGAAAGTGAGTACTGGACCGGGTGTCGTGGATGCCGCCAAGATGAAGGCGAGTACCGGACTTGGTGTCGTGGATGATTTTAATCCGAGGGCTACTACCAGATCCAAGGTAATGAGCGATGCCGGACTGAAGGCGAGGACTGGACCCGACGTAGTGAGCGATGCTGGGCTGAACACAAGGACTGGACCCGGTGCCGTGCGTGATGCCGAGCTGAAAATGGATACCGAGCCCAATGTCATGGAGGACGTTGAGCTCAGACCGAGTACTGGTCCCGGTGTTGTAGACGCTGAGAAGATGAAACCGAATACTGCGCCCGGTATCGTGCGTATGACGAGTCCTAGAGTTGGAGATGGTGCCACAGGGCAGATAACCAATCGGAACTCTCGGCAGTATGGCGTGCCGCATGAGGCTCCTCTCCATGCGCCGCGTGATATCATGGAACCGTTGATGGATGCCGTGGCCGGACTTCCTGCAATAATCAAGGCCCCCTTCACAGGGTGGGGAAAATCATTAAGCAACTTGTGGAAAGGCGACGGCCTCGCTAAAGAACAGGCCACAGCCGCCGAAAGACAGAGATTAAGCGATCACGATTGGGAAGCTGATTGGCAATCTTGATGACTGACTTGGCTTCGCGAATGTTGCCATGTCAAAGTGAGTGTAAACGCCAAATTATCGAGTTGTCTTTGCTTCAAAGCGGACATTGCTGACGAAAGCATCGCGTTTAGTTGAGATTGTAATAGGAATGCATTTGACACTGCTGCTGCTTAGTCCATCCAGATTGCCTTAAACGTTGACATGCGAGCAGTATATGTCTTTCCATCAGTTCGTGCTAATCGTGACTTCTTGTGTAAAACTTCGTTGCTGAAAAACGTTCTGGATAGTCAGACTGTTACAGTGTGTTGTAGATTACACACTCATCATCGTAGCGCTACCACAAACAGGTTGCCAAAATGTGCCGATTGTCCACTAATAAATGAAAGAAGTACGTGTTGCGTGTAGTCTCTTGCGTTCAGTCATACCGCGCCGCACAACGTGTCGTAGACTTCACTCAAGAACGAACCTTAGTCGTCAACTTTCCTGATCGTCCAGGTGCACATATTGCGTCGATGCATGTGTTCTGTTGTGGAAACTCGTTACATACTGAGCTTTACAATGAGATAAGTCCGGCTTGGAATAACTTGAAATAGCAACAACCTTTATCATACATATACATACAAGAATAATAGCGTCGTACCTCTGCGAAGGTAGACGATCGATTTTTATATCAAGTGCAGTTCAAAGGCGAAGCGCGATTAAAATGCTTGAAAGGAAGTGCGACAATAATTTTTGTTGTGACATGCATTAATGGTGTGTAGAGTACAGCTGTAGATAGCTAGAAATTAACGATTCAGGTTGTGGTGTTTGTTCTCGTCTCACCGTTCTTATTGGAGCTTACATGATTCTACTCCGTCATAGAAAGTCAGCAAAATTGGCTTTATTTGATGCTCACCCAAAATGTCCCAGATGTGCTGTACCTACACACATGATGCTTTGTGGATACGGTCGCGATTATTAAATAACTCATTTGGCTTTTACATTCTTATCCAATGCAACGGGGTTGCACGAAATTATGGTACTTTGTACCAGAGGTGTTACACACCTGAGGTTACCCCTTTGTGAAGGTGATATAGAATATCTTATTGGTTTGTAGGGGCTGACGAGTGTCAGCCATTAGGTACGAAAGATCTTTGAGTAGGATTCAGACGTTCTATAGGCTTTGACAATAAAATAAAATCAGTTCCCATTTTGATATAAAGGACACGTGGCTTGCGAGCCGTCTCTTGATCGTTGATCACTGATCACTAAGAGTTAGCAACACCTCCTTGAGGTAGCTACTCTTGAGCACTGAGTGCTGTCGATTCACTGAATCGTTAGGTCCCCTGGAACAGGGATCTGAAGCTGTAAAGCTGGTTGACTCGTAAAGTCGTTAGTTCTTTGGAACCAAGTTGCTCGTAGAGCGTTAAGTCTTCCTCTGACTTAAGGGGCTGTGTAGCTCCTCTACATCCAAGGCTATCATGAAATATCAAGGGATCATTTGGTCAACTCCGTGCAATTATTCGCTTACATTCGTCGCAGTATCATAGCAGGAATAAAACTTCCCTGGAGTACCCGCGTAAACAAACGATCGCTGCAAGTTAAACACTTTATCTCTTACACCCAGCGTGATCACCTCCTTCATCAATGGTGCTTTCTGACACCTTTATCACTTTCATTTTGTATGTCCACCGCGACCCGTTTTGTGTGATGTTACAATCTATCAATCTGTATTAGTACATCAAATCGCCGAATTGTATCGGCGGACCTGGCTGGTACGTCGAATTCCTATCCCTTCGCTTTCGCCCTTATGGATTCATTTTTTGGCTTTCGTCTCATTATTTTAGCACACAAAAATCCTCCTGCAGCCTGACTGAGCTTAGCATCTTTGAAAAACCACATTATTATTCTCATGTGACCTCACAGCGAAAAATGGATGCTGACATTGTAACGGGGTAGCCCGTTACATGATATTGACACCAAACGGTGTCAATAGGGATATTGTTTAGCGTGAAAATTCCCTGCCAATATTATCCCCTTTTGGATAAATTCATGATCAGCTCAAAGATTGGTTGATAAAGATATATCTATCAACCGTAGATTACCACCAATCGCCGCTAGACGCGCGCAATGAGTGGTGAGCAGGTTGTCGTCATACGACGACGTAGTTTAATACACTTAGATAAAGATTAAAATTATTTTGATAGCTTAACTATATTAAATACAGCTCTCCTTTTACCCTTTACTCAGCTTAGTTGTTGAGTAGAATAGCTTCCTCTGCACGTAATAGTTTACGTATAGTTTCGTGGCACCCCAAACAAAGAGTGCCCCGTTACACCTGGTAGCACTTAGTAGTCCGTCCAACGACTACATAGTGTCCGTTCAGCATGAACATGTTGGACATAGAAGACGACAGCTTTCACATCACACGTGAAGGCTACTTCCACCTGAGTGACTCAGAATGGGAGACAATCGGCCGCATGAGTATGCTAATCGCCGAATTCGCCATCAGTGGCATGTTGGACTCTCTAAGCAGAGACCAGCAACATGCTTCTAATAACAAGTTCCTACAAGGGGAACTTGCCGATGAAAGACAGAAGATAGGCTTGCTACAACAGCAAGGATCTCATCAGTCGATGGGCGGGCCGACGCACACGCGTCTACCCGAATCCTTGAAGATAAATATCTCAAGGTAAATGGGAACCGATGAAGATTCCCTTTTGAGATGGTTCGTCAAGTTAGACGACGCCATCAGGGCCCGTCACATCGAGGGTGACGAGATGCAAGTCATCTTTGCCCTGTCAAATTTGACAGGACGAGCAAATAATTGGGCCTTAAGGCTCAAGCTTCACGACCCAAACGGGTTTGAGTCGTTGGAGATCTTGAAGTCTCGACTCAAAGAAATGTTTGAGCCGCCAAGAACCGAGTTCATTCCATGCACACCTGAGGCTCAAGCAAGGTAAGCGTGATGTGCACGCTTATGCACAACACCTACGCTACCTTGCGAGTAGTATAACGGAAACCCCTGTTGATGAGCACACGCTCAATAACGTGTTCATATACGGCCTTGAAGATGGACCGATGAAGACCTACATGTTCCGAGAGGACTTCCATACGCTGGAAAAGGCTATAGCGTTTAGAACAACGTAAGGAACAAGAAGACTTCAGCCTGAGACAGTCTCAGGCTAACTCGTCAAACTATCGTTCGAATAGACGGCAGGGGACAGGAGGTCCCGAACCAATGGACCTCTGTTATATCGAGAGCGAGAACTCTCGCTCCCTGAGTCACAAGCGAACGGCAAGATGCCATCGCTGTCACAAGATTGGGCATTACGCTCATGAGTGTAGTGTCTTAAGTACCGCATTACGTTTAAAGACAGAACGTGATGACCGCCGTTATTTGAGGAAATGTCCAAGACGCGGGTCCGGCAATGTCGCTAAACCGCGATATCAAGTCGGACCGTAAAAAAACGGACAGGGTCAGTAGGTGCGTAGCACCCTGCTGAATTAGCAACGCCAAGAGAATTTGCAGGACTCTTAAAAATATTGCTCCCACCACACAGTCACTGTGCGTTACTACCCCTTGTGATGAGGTGTCCCTCATCACCTCAATGATCGAAGTGACAAGTGGAATGTCACCTCGCACCCTAGTTGACTCTGGGCGTCGAACAGTTTTCTTCGACTCTAGTCGCTGGGGGATAGCAGGCTCAACTTTGATAAGCGAGAGTTCCCTCCAACGAGTATGACGGTGTGCCTTGCTGCAGGGGCATCTGTAACAGTGAGCAAACGTGTAGTGGGAATCCACTACACGCTAGAAGGAAAGCAGTACGATGATGACTTCATTGTACTGGATTTGGATGGCAAATTGTGTCATCACCAGTCTGCCATGGCTTAGAAAATACAAGCCATGGATCATCCGGCAGCATCGATCCGTGAAGATGCCTGCCGTTTGCTCATCAGATGGCCATCTAATGACCTCTTGGAGCGTCCACAAGTGTGTGGATGCACTACGAGTGAGTGCGATGGCCTCACTCGTGGTACGGTCGCTAGTATGAATGCACAAGATCACAGTGTAGAAGGCCATTACAATATGGAATCAGCTTCCGGCACCTGAAGGGTCTCCACTTGAAGAGATTGAGTGGACTGGAACACGGATGCACACCAAGGAGGGTGCATCCGAGAAGAGAGACTAGTGTTGTTCAGGATGGACAACACGTTGAAGCGAGATCGACTATCAGAGAGTCGATCGTAGAGCAAGCCCGATCGACTGAAAGAGATTCTATCGAAGAGGACGTGACCGTGATAGTACCCGTAACGGAAGAAAATTCCGGCGTTTCTGAGAGCAATAACTCCCGAGAGAGTTATGTTGAGGGTGTGGATCCCCAACCACTTGCGGATGTATTTTCCCAGGAAATCACCGAGACAGTGAATGTCTTGGTGAATGACGGATCAAGTGTAGGCGCTTATACACTTGATCTGGTGACGCCCCCGAAGTCAGCTTCGGAGGTGGTCAAGTTGCCAACGCTAGAATCGAAAAGATTCTTGCGAGATCTGCGTACTGACAAGATCAAGCAGATCTGCGTACTCGTCACAGAGGACGAGTACGTCGCCGATATTCGGTCGGCACAAGTGTCTGCTGAGAACGAACGGGTTCTCTGTAGTTCATCTATGGACGAGAGTGTCCTTGATGAAAAGACCCGGATTGAGTGATACACGTCTCAACCTTGGGAGTCTTTGTAGACATATCCGTTGTATTAGGATTTGGTGGAATTCAGGGATGTTTTCCAGGAATGCGTGCCATGCGAGCTGGTCAAAGACAAAGGCACTCGGCGTGAGATCGAACTGAAACCTGGTTCGAAATAATGTGTCATGAAGCAGTGGCCACTGCCTCGTGAACAGGTCACAGCGATCGACAAATTTATTGCCGATCGATTAGCGGCTTGTCATGTGAGGGAATCAACATCCCCACACAGCTCTCCGACCTTCTGTGTGCGACAGGCCACAGGAGGGTGGCGGAAAGTGCACGTGTTCAACAAATAGAA